ATACAAGGTATCCATTGTCTTATGCTGAGGGCAGCATCATAGCCATGGGCTAGGCTGCATGATTGTGCATGGATAGCATACCTGAATAATGAGCCAGTCATGGGGTTCCATCTGTCGGCTTGTCCCCTTGTGTGTTGGGTTTGATGTGCTTCTCAAAGAAGTCTTGAGCTTCCTTGGCATTGGAAAACGTGCGTGTTGTGTTCTAGATGGTCAAGATGAGTTTTGTCAGGTGGATGAAACCGCATCTCAGGTTCAGCTTGCGTAGCTGGGATCTCACCTCGTTGTAGCTCTCCCTCTTTTTTAGCACTTAGGCCAGGGGTTCTTATACATTTTCAGCCTGGGACCCAAATGAGAAATTCTGTGTATTCCTGGGACCCAAGCTTATGAAAACATGCAACTATACTTAAATATCGGTACATTTCATTGCAATTATGCCAGCCTAAAACAAATGCAATATAGACAAATAACAATGAAATGAAATACCCATATAAATATCTATTCATGTTTATTTTTCCCCATTAAAAACACTCTTACATATCTGTCTAGGTTGGAACTGTTGCTGATAAAATAAATTCAATCTGAACTGGAATAAACTGATTAATCACGTCACACGATGTATAATAGAACACACACAGTCCTAATGAGAGGTGTGTGGCTGGTTGAAGTTTTCAACAAGCATGTCTATTCTGGACTGTTTTTGACCATGCAACACTGAGGCATGCTCAGCATTGAGACTGTTTCTGTACTTGTTTTTTAAGTATGCCAGAGTTGAGAACCCTGATTCGCATAGGTATGTGGTGCCAAACTGGATCAGAACATCTACTGCTTTCTCGGGCAGGCAGGAGACCGCTTCCTGCTGTAGATGAGCCACCTAGAACTGTGTGAGTGTGTTTGCCTCAAAAAGCATCTTGCTTCAATCAGTTTATTCCAGTTCAGAATACAAATTATTACTTGTATTTTAACAGCAACAGTTCCAATCTAGACTTGTTTTCAACAATAATTTCTACAGTAAGATGTACAGTAGGTGTGATAATAATAATAATACGCCATTTAGCAGACGCTTTTATCCAAAGCGACTTACAGTCATGCGTGCATACATTTTTTTTTTGTGTATGGGTGGTCCCGGGGATCGAACCCACTACCTTGGCGTTACAAGCGCCGTGCTCTACCAGCTGAGCTACAGAGGACCACTTTTAATCTTCATATGTACTGGTACTTAGGGTTGCACTATCAGTAGCTAGCTAGCTTGCTTTTGCTAACGTTAGCTATTAGATGTGTAAAAGGCCAGGGGAATGTTTGAAAGAGAAACTCACATCTACTATGAGATAGTACTCTGCTTCTCAACACCTGTTATAAAATGACAACAATGCCTTGCTAGCTGACTTACTTTTCCACTGTCGAAGCACTGTTTCCTGAAGCATTCTGCCCTGTTCTGAAAGAACTCCCTGGGTTTACCGTCATGCTGTGGATGTTTGTGCAGGACGTGTTGTTTTATTAATTTGTTCGTTTTGAGAGACTCATTACTAAGCACTTCCCCGCACAAAACATATTGTGGGCATTCCTTGTTATTTCACAAAGTATGTATTAAAGATAGAGAAACTCTGCGCTGTATTTGCTCTTCATAATGATTGAGTCAGTCAGAACTTGTGGCTAGCATGAGTCCATTTGATGACAGCGGTAAGTGACGGCGGGTGGTGACAAGTCAGTGGCAGACAGCGCATCATCTGTTGATGAACGACAGTGCTGCAGCGTGTGGGTCGCGGAGTGATCTTAAAGAAAACTGCTGAAAAAATATCAGGTAAACCGCTAAGCACATGGGCATCTCCCACTACCACAGCTGCCAAACTGAGCAGAGACTGCTGCTAAGCAGAGAGCGCAGTTGCACTTGGCCAAATCAATTCCAGTAATTAATTAAATAATTATACTTTTACTCTGACACGTCGCAACAGGTCCGCGACCCATACTTTAAGAAAGGCTGAGTTAGGCAATCAGGTCTGGGTAGATGCTGATCCTATTCCCTGCATAGGTCAGACTCCCAGATTCCGCTGCAAGGCTAACAATTCGCAGCTTGACTTCAAAGCTGTGGATCCGTACAATCATAGACCTGATCTGTTCCGGAGAGGACCCATGCGGTGCACAAAGTTAATCAGCGGCATGGGACCCAGCTTCTCCTGCCCGAACAGTTTATAGAAAATATTGCTCATAAAGGAAGTTGGGTTTCCCGCTTCAACACCAGTTTCAAGTCCTGTGATCCGCACATTGAATTTACAGGAATGATTTTCGAGTGATTCCGTTTTCTCTTTTAGGAGTTTGATTTTCCCTTCCAACTTAGCTCGTGCTGTTTCCAGGTCATAGAGTCGCACCTCTGTCGCATTGGCTGTCTTTTCCAGACTTTCCACTTTAATTGAATAGGTATCCAGTTTAGCAGTGAGCTCCCCCAATGATTCATTTACCGGTTATAATAAAGTCGAGGGCAGAGGTAATCTCCTCACGAACAATCTCTCATATAGACGACATGGATAAACGACCACATGGATAACATATACAGTGAGGGGGAAAAAGTATTTGATCCCCTGCTGATTTTGTACGTTTGCACACTGACAAAGAAATAATCAGTCTATAATTTTAATGGTAGGTTTATTTGAACAGTGAGAGACAGAATAACAACAAAAAAATCCAGAAAAACGCATGTAAAAAATGTTATAAATTGATTTGCATTTTAAAGAGAGAAATAAGTATTTCACCCCCTCTCAATCAGAAAGATTTCTGGCTCCCAGGTGTCTTTTATACAGGTAACAACTGAGATTAGGAACACACTCTTAAAGGGAGTGCTCCTAATCTCAGTTTGTTACTTGTATAAAAGACACCTGTCCACAGAAGCAATCAATCAATCAGATTCCAAACTCTCCACCATGGCCAAGACCAAAGAGCTCTCCAAGGATGTCAGGGACAAGATTGTAGACCTACACAAGGCTGGAATGAGCTACAAGACCATCGCCAAGCAGCTTGGTGAGAAGGTGACAACAGTTGGTGCGATTATTCGCAAATGGAAGAAACACAAAAAACCTGTCAATCTCCCTTGGCCTGGGGCTCCATGCATGATCTCACCTCGTGGAGTTGCAATGATCATGAGAATGGTGAGGAATCAGCCCAGAACTACACAGGAGGATCTTGTCAATGATCTCAAGGCAGCTGGGACCATAGTCACCAAGAAAACAATTGGTAACACACTACGCCGTGAAGGACTGAAATCCTGCAGCGCCCGCAAGGTCCCCCTGCTCAAGAAAGCACATATACATGCCTGTCTGAAATTTGCCAATGAACATCTGAATGATTCAGAGGAGAACTGGGTGAAAGTGTTGTGGTCAGATCAGACCAAAATCGAGCTCTTTGGCATCAACTCAACTCGCCGTGTTTGGAGGAGGAGGAATGCTGCCTATGACCCCAAGAACACCATCCCCACCGTCAAACATGGAGGTGAAACATGATGCTTTGGGGGTGTTTTTCTGCTAAGGGGACAGGACAACTTCACCGCATCAAATCTTGGGTAAGAACCTCCTTCCCTCAGCCAGGTCATTGAAAATGGGTCGTGTATGGGTATTCCAGCATGACAATGACCCAAAACACACGGCCAAGGCAACAAAGGAGTGGCTCAAGAAGAAGCACATTAAGGTCCTGGAGTGGCCTAGCCAGTCTCCAGACCTTAATCCCATAGAAAATCTGTGGAGGGAGCTGAAGGTTTGAGTTGCCAAACGTCAGCCTCAAAACTCTAATGACTTGGAGAAGATCTGCAAAGAGGAGTGGGACAAAATCCCTCCTGAGATGTATGCAAACCTGGTGGCCAACTACAAGAAACGTCTGACCTCTGTGATTGCCAACAAGGGTTTTGCCACCAAGTACTAAGTCATGTTTTGCAGAGGGGTCAAATACTTATTTCCCTCATTAAAATGCAAATCAATGTATAACATTTTTGACATGCGTTTTTCTGGATTTTGTTGTTGTTATTCTGTCTCTCACTGTTCAAATAAACCTACCATTAAAATTATAGGCTGATCATTTCTTTGTCAGTGGGCAAACATACAAAATCAGCAGGGGATCAAATACTTTTTTCCCTCACTGTAGCTGGTGGGATGTACGCTGCATCGGCAAGATAGAACAGCTGCCTCCGGTAAGCCAAGGGGTGGCGGTCTGTGTATATTTGTAAACAACAGCCGGTGCACGAAATCTAATATTAAGGAAGTCTCGATGTTTTGCTCGCCTGAGGTAGAGCATTTCATGATACGCTGTAGACCACACTATTTACCAAGAGAGTTTTCATCTATATTTTTCGTGGCTGTCTATTTACCACCACAAACCGATGCTGGCACTAAGACCGCACTCAATGAGCTGTATAGGGCCATAAGCAAACAGGAAAACGCTCATCCAGAGGCGGCGCTCCTAGTGGCCGGGGGCTTTAATGCAGGGAAACTTAAATCTGTTTTACCTCATTTCTACCAGAATGTTAAATGTGCAACCAGAGGGGAAAAAATCGTTTTTGGTCCTAAAATTCAAAATCAAATGGCTAAATGATCCTTGGTATGACCCTCTTAAAACAATTCCATATTTTAGCTTAGTAGAAACCCAGCCTCGGGCACTTTGACTCTAGGGGGATTTAATGGACCTATAGAATAGTCCCAAAACTGTAAACCCCTCTCATTTGCACACTCCAGGCAGGCTACAGCAAACGCTTAAAGTATTTGAAAGATTTCAAATAGTATTTGACCCCTGGATTGGTGCTATGCTGTGCTGTAAGTGACTGCAGTGTTCTTGGCTGTACATTGTGGGTGACGGTGACCTCTATACTGTAGCTCTGACTATGATTAATCATGACTGGTGATTGGTGCTTTCTATTCTCTATGCATACATAACTCAATGGTGATTGGTCCTTCTCTCTCTCCCCTTTTCTCTCTATTTCTTTCTCTCTGCCTCCCTCTTCCTCTTCCGTTTCCCCCTAATCATAGACAACTCCACCTCTCTCTTTCTCCCCGTCCTTCCTTCCTCTCCTCTCGCTCTCCATTGGACGCTTCCAGCCTCCGTCGTTGGAGGACAACTGCCACAGCACGTATTCTAGCCAATCAGACAGCCAGTATGGCTCCCCGCCCCGGGGTTGGTCAGAAGAGCTGGATGAGCATGGACACACTCTGTATGTTAGTGACTATACTAATGAGAAGGTACTGGGGACTCTCTCTCTGTGTCTGTCTTCACTGTCATGGCCTCTGAGTTGGCCTCTTAGTTCTGCTCTATATTACACATAGACCGGACCACTGCACCACAATAGGTGAATTTTCAGTGAAGTCAGTGATGCTCATCTAGTCTCCTGTGTGTGTGTGTTTCCGTGTCCGTGTCCGTCCAGTGGATAAAGCATGTGGATGAACAGGGCCGACCCTACTACTACAGTGCTGACGGCTCAAGATCTGAGTGGGAGCTGCCCAAGGTATGGCCCAGCCCCAGTACACTACCTCCAATTTACCCTGCGTTCGTAACCAAGTGGGAAAATTCTACTTGACCGCCCCTCCAACTGGTATATTACTAGTGGGAAACTCGTCTATCATCCCTGAGCTCCGACTTCTCCCACATGCTGACCTCTGATGTCACCTACCAAGGAAATGACCTCCATAACAGCATTTTCTGCAGTTAAATGCAAAACATTATTTATAAAAAGCAATCTATTCATATGTTTTTTTAAACACTGTCATTTGTTTACAAATATGGTAGCTGTACTTTTAGCTTATGGTTTATGCAGCTTCTTGGCCACTAGCCAATATATTTTTAATTTTTACGTGTACTTTTTACCAGTTTTTCTCCCCAATTTCGTGATATCCAATTGGTAGTTAGTCTTGTCCCATCGCTGTAACTCCCGTACGGACTCGGGAGAGGCGAAGGTCGAGAGCCATGCATCCTCCGAAACACGACCCTGCCAAGCCGCACTGCTTCTTGACACAATGCTTTCTTAACCCGGAAGCCAGCCGCACCAATGTGTCGGAGGAAACACATACAACTGGCGACCGTGTCAGCATGCATGCGCCCGATCCGCCACAGGGAGTCGCTAGAGCGCGATGGGACAAGGACATCCCGGCTGGCTAAACCCTCCCCTATCCCGGACGCCACTGGGCCAATTGTGCGCCGCCTCATGGGTCTCCCGGTCGCGGCCGGCTGCGACACAGCCCGGGATCCAATCTGCGTTTCTCAATGAGTTCAAAGCACGTGAATGCATCCAACTGGTATTTACAACTTCACAGCTGGTAATTTCCACCATCCCAGTTGGTTATGAACACAGCATTGGTTGAATAGTTTGGACTGATTGCTTGTCCCCAAACATATTTAGGCTTATTTGTTTCATAAAAGTTCAGTTGTCGTGTCGTTCTATGTTTGCAGGGGTTGATGTTATTAGTAAATCTGGATGAGGTGAGTCACAGAGGAGGAGGCATACTACAAGAGACAAGAGAGAGATGCGGAGGGAGAGAGAGGAGAGGGAGAGAGATTAGGAGAGCGAGAGTCGCAGAAGAGAAGAGAGCGGAGAGAGGAGAGAGAGAGGAGAGAAGAGAGAGAGAGAGGGAGAGAGAGAGAGAGAGAGAGAGAGAGATCGAGAGAGATAGAGATCGATAGCTCTCTCTTCGATTCTCTCTCTATCTATCTATCTCTCTCTCTCTCTCTCTCTCTCTCTCTCTCTCTCTCTCTCTCTCTCTCTCTCTCTCTCTCTCTCTGCAGTACAACCATTCCCCTTCTCCCCTGCCGGGCGGAGGAGACACCCCTAAGAGCCGCAGTCTGGACAGGAAGCATGTAGAGCCCATCGTCCTGACCAAGTGGAGACACAGCACCTACGTACTGGACACCAACGACAAGGTGAGATGCCCCAAATAATTAAAGTTTCTTTATAGGTCCAATTTCTAGTCTCTGAGGTATCTTGTCTAGTGAGTGTGTTTATTATGTGAATATGAGATGTAGTTGTAGTCTTGAGTCCCAAATGGCAACAGGGCCCTGGTCAAAAGTAATGCACTACATAGGAATAGGTTGCCATTTGGAACACGATCATGATGTGAATGTGAGGGGTAGTTGTAGACTCATGATTCTGTTCTGCAGTGACTCATCAAAAACAACAGGCGTTTCCGTACAAGCTCTGGCCGCCCCCACCCTTACAGACAGACAAAAGTCAGTGCCCCTCCCCCACGGTGCCCCTACACCCTCCAATCCCAGCAGCCAATCACCTTGCTTGATAATCATAGAGAGCGAGAATGATCACATCCTTCATCTAATCAAATGATACCTTCATCCAATCAGGCCTATCACGTTCCGAGCTTGCTGCCACTTCCTCTTGTTAATTCCCATTGATCTGAAAAACGAATTTAATGATGACCCATTGATCACTTCTATAATCTATCATTATAATAATATAATCTATAATCACTTCTATAATCTACAATAATCTACGTAGTAGTGATGTAAGCATGGCAATATCGACCTTTCCTTTCCCTCAGTTAGTAGTTTGATTTGAGCTACAATCTAAATGTATTAACTGCATGGTTTAATTATGTTATTTTGAAAGAATACTTGATAACATTCAACAACTCTGCTTTCTGGAACATCCCTCTGTAGTACTCTGTAGTTCTTAGACGGTGTTGTCATTCTCATCACTAGGACGCTGAGTTGGGCCCCAAGGTCCCCGGCTCTCCTGACTCCAACTGCTCAGACCCCTCGTCCCCCAAGCCCCCAACCTCTGTTAGTATCCCCCTCTCTCTCTCTCCTCTCCTGTAGTGTGGCCTTCCCTCTGTTCTCTGTGTGCTCCTCTTCTGTCTTCTCCTGTTCTACTGTTGTGGTCCCCTGATGTCCATTTTCATAGAAAATGGTAGAAAATCAGTAGAAACTCTTGTCTCTTGTCTTGCCTGAATTGTCAAATGACGTTTTGCTCTGCTGGTGACTCTGTAAATATTCGACCTGTATTGGAACCAAATAGTGGTGGTGGTGGTGACTGTAACCCTCTATCACAGACTAGACTGTGGGGGAACTATTAAGTGTTGTCCTGCTGTGGTTTCTCTGCCTGATGTCAGTCATACTAAAGCTTCTACTTTCTTGTCTACTCTTTCCTTCAGTCTCTCTGGTTTGGGTTGTTTGTTTGGGCTGCTTTTTGTATGTTTGTGTCCCTTTTGGTCAAAAGTGGTGCACTATATAGGAAATAGGGTGTCATTTGGGACAGAGAATGTGTATAGCTTTTTTCCCTGTCAGTTGTGTCTAGCCCTGTCTACATGTGATGATGATGTGTCTCCCTTTGTTTCTCTGCAGCCTTCAGAGAAGTGTGGTGTTCTCAATGTGACCAAGATCACTGAGCATGGCAAAAAAGTACGGTGAGTGGTACTGGCTTTGGGACAGGAATATCCTACACATACTGATAAACTGCTGGTCAAAGCAACACAACATGGAGTGTTTGTTGAGTTGAAACAATATGTATGAATGATGTAAGATGACTTGGGGGCAAAAATAGATTTTGTGTCCGAAATTGCGGCTTGAGACAATCGTTTTTCAATGGGGGTCATCCGTTGACGGATGATGGACAACTGAGATAATTGTCTGTAAAAAGAAAAACGTTGACTTAAATTTAACCTTTGACAGACAAAAACTGACAATGATGAATTCATATGTTTTCTTTATACGTCTCTGTGTGGCCTCAGCCTGAATGATGTAGGATGTCTTATGTATGTGTGTGTGTGTGTGTGTGTGTTTACAGGAAGAATTGGACGTCGTCCTGGACAGTCCTCCAGGGCTCCTCGCTACTATTCGCTAAAGGCCAGGGGGGCGGGACCAGCTGGGTGAGTAGTGTCAATCTGCTACTGTACTCTACACTAGAGTGTTCAAACCATAGAAATAGAGTAGAACAGGAATAGAACCTCTGACCATGGCAATTTCCCCCGTCCCTCTCTACATCAAGCCATATTACCTTGGTGGCTCCTCCTTCGCTGAGCTGCTACTCTCGCTGCTAGGCAACTGGAGGCGCTCCTCGGTGGTCAAGCCCCACCCTGTCGTCTCCTCCTCCTATCCCATGCTGCCGCTCGTCCTCACATGCCTCCTCCCATTTGTCTAGAGCTGTAAAATTCCAGTATCATTCCCAAAATTCAGGAAATCCAGAATCCTTCAACCAGGATTTTGGGGAAAGTTACTGGAATTATGCAACCCGAGACTGTCTGTCATGCTGGCTGCTGCTCTGACTCCTCTGCCTGTTATTGGTCAATCCCAGACTTGGGGGCGAGCCGTAAAGGGAGTGGAGTGGACTCCTCCTTCATGGGGTCAGGCTAGCTAGAGGATGGCCTCTCTCTCCTCCAGTACCCATGGTGCTCTAAGGCTAGATTCAGTAAGGTGTAGGGTGTAGTCTCCATCCCAAATGGCACCCTTTTCCCTTTATAGTGCACTACTTTTGACCAGGGCCCATAGGATTGGAAGAGTGTTGCATGGTGGAGTGGTTTATGGGCTGGGGGTGGCTGTGATGTTTCTTTCATGTAGGTTGGCATGCTTGTAAAAGGAGGGGTAGGTCAGACAATCAAGTCGAAGGGGTTCCATGTAGGAAGGGAGGTTCATAGGGCTCTGGTCTAAAGTAGTGTACTATATAGGCAGAAAAGAGAAATACGCAAAATAATATTTCGATTCAGAGTAATAAAGAAATTGAATAATTTATCTGAGCAAACCAGAAACCTTTCAATATATAAATGCAAACAATACTTTAGAACCATTTAAATATAATAAATTGGAAGGTTGTGCATGACTATGGTAGGTGAAGGAATCAATCTATCTTTTCAGACTGTTAGAGTATTTATCTGGTCAATATGTCAGTGTATTACTGTATGTCTGTTTGTAATAGTGTGTTATATGTGAAAATGTGATTGTATTATAAATTGTATTTTAATGTTTATGGACTCCAATGAGGACTTAAAGAGATCCTAATATAATAACAACAACAACAACAACAAAATATATATAGGAAATAGGGCACCATTTGGGACATAGACATAGACTAGACATAGACAGTGCTAACTGTGCCACTAGAGATCCTGGTTCGAATCCAGGCTCTGTCGCAGCCGGCCGCGACCGGGAGACTCATGGGCGGCGCACAATTGGCCCAGCGTCGTCCAGGGTAGGGGAGGGAATGGCCGGCAGGGATGTAGCTCAGTTGATAGAGCATGGCGTTTGTAACGCCAGGGTTGTGGGTTCGATTCCCACAGGGGGCCAGTATACAAAAATATGTATTCACTAACTGTAAGTCGCTCTGGATAAGAGCGTCTGCTAAATGACTAAAATGTAAATGTAAATGTAGACTAAACTCAATGATGCACCTGTTGTTTAGTAGTAGATGACACTCTCTCTAACTTAGATACAACATTATCCTAAGTAATATCTCACCAACAACACTGGATTGACAGTGGGATTGACAAGCTCCATTGACACCACACTGTGGTGTGGTGTGTTTCTACACTATATATACAAAGTATGTGGACACCCCTTCAAATTAATCGATTTGGCTATTTCAGCCACACCCATTGCTGACAGGTGTATAAAATTGAGCACACAGCCATGCCATCTCCATAGACAAACATTGGCAGTAAAATGGCCTTACTGAAGAGCTCAGTGACTTTCAACGTTGCACCGTCATAGGATGCCACCTTTCCAACAAGTCAGTTCATCAGATTACTGCCCTGCTAGAGCTTCCCGGTCAACTGTACGTGCTGTTATTGTGAAGTGGAAACGTCTAGGAGCAACAACAGCTCAGCCGCGAAGTGGTAGGCCACACAAGCTCACAGAACGGGACCGCTGAGTGCTGAAGCTCACTGCCGAGTTCCAAACTGCCTCTGGAAGCAATGTCAGCACAATAACTGTTCGTCGGTTTCCATGGCCGAGCAGGCACACACAAGCCTAAGATCAACATGCGCAATGCCAAGCGTCGGCTGGAGTGGTGTAAAGCTTGCCGCCATTGGACTCTGGAGCAGTGGAAACACGTTCTCTCGAGTGATGAATCACGCTTCACCATCTGGCAGTCCGACGGACAAATCTGGGTTTGGCTGATGCCAGGAGAACGCTACCTGCCCGAATGCATGGTACCAACTCTAAAGTTTGGTGGAGGAGGAATAATGGTCTAGGGCTGTTATTCATGGTTCGTGTAGGCCCCTTAGTTCCAGTGAAGGGAAATCTTAACGATACAGCATACAATGACATTCTAGAAGATTCTGTGCTTCCAACTTTGTGGCAACAGTTTGGGGAAGGCCCTTTCCTGTTTCAGCATGACAATGCCCCCGTGCACAAAGCGAGGTCCATACAGAAATGGTTTGTCGAGATCGGTGTGGAAGAACTTGACTGGCCTGCACAGAGCCCTGACCTGAATTGGAACGCCGACTGCGAGCCAGGCCAAATCGCCCAACATCAGTGCCCGACCTCACTTATTCTCTTGTGGCTGAATGTAAGCAAGTCCCCGCAGCAATATTCCAACATCTAGTGAAAAGCCTTCCCAGAAGAGTGGAGGCTGTTATAGCAGCAAAGTGGGGACCAACTCCATATCCATGATTTTGGAATGAGATGTTCGACGAGCAGGTGTCCACATACTTTTTGGTCATGTAGTGTACTTGTTTCTCCCTGTAGTTTGGAGGCAGTCAGTCCAAGCCAGAGTTTACTGTGGACCTGAGAGGAGGATCTATAGAGTGGGCTTCCAAGGACAAGTCCAGCAAGAAGCATGTCATAGAGGTGAGTGAGCTCCTACACACAATTCAAACAGCTTGAATATGTCCCCTTGGACAATTCTGTTAAGGCTATAGCATTGCCTCAGACATATACAATGGTAGCACCACATGACAGGGAGGATTATTTCATGTTGGAGTAATGTCTTAGTGTTAAAAAACTCAACAACTTTGTCTCCTCCTGCAGCTGAAAACCCATCAGGGCACAGAGCTGCTGATCCAGTCAGAGAATGACAGCATCATCAACGACTGGTACAGAGCACTAATGGACACCGTCAGCACACACGTGAGTCTACACAAACACACACACGACACATACACACACACACACAACACAAATCTGATTCATCGTAATGTTTGTCACAATATCCACTAAGTGGCAGAGCTGGCATGTTTTGTCATTGGGCCTTGATGGTATTGCCAGCCCAAAGGTAGCCTACCTGTTTCTGACTGTCCCCTTCCTGTTTCCCTGTTTGTGTGTTACCTACCATACTGTAGGCCTGGGAGTCAGATGAGGCCATAGAGGTGGACATGCCAGAGTCTCCTGGAGCTGAGAAACAAGACAAAGAGAAAGACCACAGAGACTCTATGAGCAGAGGTTAGTGCAGCCTGTCTGTCTCTGTCTGTCTCTGTCTGTCTCTGTCTGTCCCTGTCTGTCCCTGTCTGTCCCTGTCTGTCCCTGTCTGTCTCTGTCTGTCTGTTACCCTAAACCAAACCCTCACATGTGTGTTTGAGATCGTTCATCTTTGTTAACCAAGGATGCTATTGTTGATCATCATGTGTGTCAGTGTGTTAAATCATCTCCCATTGCCATTTGTCTACAGAAGATGTTGATGATCATTTATTGTGTTAAGTTGTTAATAATACGGTAAAATCCCATTTGTTATTAGTCTATAGCCATGAAACCTGTCAGTGTTTCTAGAGTTAGTAGAAAATGTGTCATCTGAACGTCTGTTGTCATTGGTCTGTAGCCATGAAGGGTCCCACCAGTATGGACACGTCAGATGACAAGAAGACCAGACACAAGCTTATGAAGTTCCTCACACGCAGACCCACTCTGCAAGCGGTCAGAGACAAGGGCTACATCAAAGGTATTACAGAGAGACAGCACTGAACCATATAAATAAAAACACTAGAATGGGGATAGCCTCTCAGACCACAGCAAATGGACTTCATCCTTATGGGTACACTCCAGGGTTGGGGTCAATTCTGAATTGAGTTGAGAATTGGTCTTTCAATTGTAATTATTTAATTTGAATTGGCCACACCCCACAGGAAGCAGAATATGAATTTAATTCAATCATCCTCCTAAACATTTTTATAATTACAGTGGTCTGGAAATATTCTAAGATCATTTTGTAGGTTGTTTATAATAATTCATTATTCACTTGCATGTTATTATAAAAAATATATATATATTTCCCAGGATGCATTAACAAACACTCCAGACTGGAAAGTATCAACCTAACATCGAATGAAAAAAATACAAACAAAATACTGTTTACATTTTAATCATTTAGCAGACACACTTATCCAGAGTGACTTACAGTTAGTGAGTGCATACATTTTTTTTTCATACTGGTCCCCCGTGGGAAACGAACCCACAACCCTGGCGTTGCAAACGCATTGCTCTACCAACTGAGCTACACGTGACCACTTGTTTGACATCTTTGAGTTAGAATCAAACTAATATTTTCTTTATTAAGAGGTGGCAGATGCGTTTGGCAAAATATTTGTCAAAGGAATGAGAGTCATATGTTTCATGTCTCAGTTACATTTATTTGTATTGGTTTGAATTAAATTCTACTTATTTTAATTTAAATTTGATTCAAATTCTGCTTCCTGTGGACTGTGGCCAATTCAAATTAGAATTTCATTTCATGGGTCGAATTGAATTAAATTCAGGAATTCCAAATTGACCCCAACCCTGGTACACTCAGTATAGCTGACATGGTGATGTCCATTCTAGTGATTCTATTTCTATGCAGAGAACTTTACCACACGTGCACAATTAGGACTCCATTTTGGCAATGGCAAACTAAATCCGTGCCGTTGTGTTAAAGATAGAATAGCCTTTGTTTTCCAGTAGCGGAGTACTTTGGACCTCTATAAAAATAACCCTGTCCCTGTCTGTTTGTCTCAGACCAGGTGTTTGGCTGCAGTCTGAGTGACCTCTGTCGGAGAGAGAACGCGTCCGTGCCAAGTTTCGTCACAATGTGCATCGACCACGTGGAAAACAATGGTATGTGTGCTCGGTAACACTTTACTTGACACCTAACGTCATAGCACGTTATGACACGTTATCATAATATGTCATAACAGCTGGCCTAAGTTGTCATAACCTGTCATAATATGGTCATAACACTGTCATGTAACATATATTTAGACCTGCTGTGACATAAATTGTGTCAAAACCCATAAATCCTACCACACAGGGTAATACATTCCATTACACTACAGCCTACTTGTCAATAGTATTTTATTTCTGAAATTGACCATATGAAATTACCATTGTAATTACGCACACATTGATGTCAGACATGTACCTACCCCAATGCTCTGTTGCTGATGACTGGAATGAATGCAAGATCAGATTTCAGGATCAGGACAAGACACCCTCTTTATGACTGATGTCTGACATAAGGGCATGTACGTGATAGGCCTATCAGGCTTATATGATTATGATAGTCATAATGCTTTATGACAGTGTCATAAAGTGTATTTTCTTAGTCCAGGTAAAGTGACACAGGATGGTCATAATGCTTCTTGACAGTCTCATAAAGTGCATTTTCTTAGTCTAAGTAAAGTGACACAGGATGGTCATAATTCTTCATGACAGTGTCATAAAGTGTATTTTCTAAAAATATGATTAAAAAAACATGACTGTAAAGAATTCATTTCAACAACGACAAAGTATTTAAGAAACAAACTTTGAAACGAAAGGAAACCACTTGGCAGGAAAAAAACACATTTGAATAAATGTGTGTTTTACATTTAAGTCATTTAGCAGACGCTCTTATCCAGAGCGACTTACAAATTGGTGCATTCAACTTAGGATAGCCAGTGGGACAACCACATCTTGATCACAGTAAGTACACTTCTTCAAACAAGCAGCTGTGAGCAAAGTCAGTGCAATCAGGGACAACTACATCTCGATCACAATAAGTACATTTCTTTAAACATGTCAGTGCTAGCAGGTGAAATAAGTCAGGTGTTAGTTTAGACAAAAGACAGTGGTAGTAAAGGGGGGGGTAGAAGGATTACTATTATACTATTCCAGGTATTCCTTAAAGAGGTAGGGTTTCAAGTGTCTCCGGAAGGTGGTCAGTGACTCCGCTGTCCTGGCGTCGTGGGGGAGCTTGTTCCACTATTGGGGTGCCAGAGCAGCAAATAGCTTTGACTGGGCTGAGCAGGAACTGTGCTTCCGTAGAGGTAGGGGGGCTAGCAGGCCAGAGGTGGATGAACGTAGTGCCCTCGTTTAGGTGTAGGGTCTGATCAGAGCCTGAAGGTAAGGAGGTGCCGTTCCCCTCACAGCTCCGTAGGCAAGCACCATGGTTTTGTAGTAGATGCAAGCTTCAACTGGAAGCCAGTGGATTGTGCGGAGGAGCGGGGTGACGTGAGAGAACTTGGGAAGGTTGAACACCAGACGGGCTGCAGCGTTCTGGATAATTTGCAGGGGTTTAATGGCACAGGCAGGGAGCCCAGCCAACAGCGAGTTGCAGTATTCCAGACGGGAGATGACAAGTGCCTGGATTAGGACCTGTGCCGCTTTCTGTGTAAGGTAGGGTCGTACTCTGCGAATGTTGTAGAGCATGAACCTGCAGGATCGGGTCACCGCTTTGATGTTAGCAGAGAACGACAGGGTGTTGTCCAGGGTCACGCCAAGGTTCTTTGCACTTTGGGAGGAGGACACAATGGAGTTGTCAACCGTGATGGCGAGATCATGGAGCGGGCAGTCCTTCCCCGGGAGGAAGAGCAGCTCCGTCTTGCCGAGGTTCAGCTTGAGGTGGTGGTCCGCCATCCACATTGATATGTCTGCCAGACATGCAGAGATGTGATTCGCCACCTGGTTATCAGAAGGGGGAAAGGAGAAAATTAATTGAGTGTCGTCTGCGTAGCAATGATAGGAGAGACCATGTGAGGATATGACAGAGCCAAGTGACTTGGTGTATAGAGAGAATAGGAGAGGGCCTAGAACTGAGACCTGGGGGGACACCAGTGGTGAGAGCACGTGGTGCGGAGACAGATTCTCGCCACGCCACCAAGTAGGAGTGACCTGTCAGGGAGGATGCAATCCAAGAGTGAACAGCGCCGGAGATGCCCAACACGGAGAGGGTGGAGAGGAGGATCTGATGGTTCACAGTATCAAAGGCAGCAGATAGGTCTAGAAGGATAAGAGCAGAGGAGAGAGAGTTAGCTTTGGCAGTGCGGAGAGCCTCCGTGACACAGAGAAGAGCAGTCTCAGTTGAATGACCAGTCTTGAAACCTGACTGGTTAGGATCAAGAAGGTCATTCTGAGAGAGATAGCAGGAGAGTTGGCTAGAGACGTCACGCTCAAGAGTTTTGGAGAGAAAATAAAGAAGGGATACTGGTCTGTAGTTGTTGACATCGGAGGGATCGAGTGTAGGTTTTTTGAGGAGGGGTGCAACTCTCGCCCTCTTGAAGACGGAAGGGACATAGCCAGCGGTCAAGGATGAGTTGATGAGCGAGGTGAGGTAAGGGAGAAGGTCTCCGGAAATGGTCTGGAGAAGAGAGGAGGAGATAGGGTCAAGCGGGCAGGTTGTTGGGCGGCCGGCCGTCACAAGTCGCAAGATTTCATCTGGAAAGAGAGGGGAGAAAGAAGTCAAAGCATAGGGTAGGGCAGTGTGAGCAGGACCAGTGGTGTCATTTGACTTAATAAATGAGGATCGAATGTCGTCAACCTTCTTTTCAAAATGGTTGATGAAGTCATCCACAGAGAGGGAGGAGGGAGGGGGAGGAGGAGGAGGATTCAGCAGGGAGGAGAAGGTGGCAAAGAGCTTCCTAGGGTTAGAGGCAGAGGCTTGAAATTTTGAGTGGTAGAAAGTGGCTTTGCAGCAGAAACAGAGGAAGAAAAAGTAGAGAGGAGGGAGTGAAAAGATGACAGGTCCGCAGGGAGTCTAGTTTTCCTCCATTTCCGCTCGGCTGCCCGGAGCCCTGTTCTGTGAGCTCGCAATGAGTCGTCAAGCCACGGAGCAGGAGGGGAGGACCGAGCCGGCCGGGAGGATAGGGGACATAGAGAGTCAAAAGAGGCAGAAAGGGAGGAGAGGAGGGTTGAGGAGACAGAATCAGGAGACCGGAGGGAGAAGGATTTAGCAGAGGGAAGAGATGATAGGATGGAAGAGGAGAGAGTAGCGGGAGAGAGAGAGCGAAGGTTGCGACGGCACATTACCATCTGAGTAGGAGCGGAGTGAGTAGTGTTGGAGGAAAGTAAGAGAGAAAAGGATACAAAGTAGTGATCGGAGACTTGGAGGGGAGGTGCAGTGAGATTAGTAGAAGAACAGCATCTAGTAAAGATGAGGTCAAGCGTATTGCCTGTCTTGTGAGTAGGGGGGGACGGTGAGAGGGTGAGGTCAAAAGAGGAAAGGCAGACGTCGGCAGGTTAAAGTCACCCAGAACTGTGAGGGGTGAGCCATCCTCAGGAAAGGAACTTATCAAGGCGTCAAGCTCATTGATGAACTCTCCAAGGGAACCTGGAGGGCGATAAATGACAAGGATGTTAAGCTTGAATGGGCTAGTGACTGTGACAGCATGGAATTCAAATGAGGAGATAGACAGATGGGTCAGGGGGAAAATAGATAATGTCCACTTGGGAGAGATGAGGATTCCTGTGCCACCGCCGCGCTGACCAGATGCTCTCGGGGTATGCGAGAACACATGATCAGACGAGGAAAGAGCAGTAGGAGAAGCAGTGTTTTCTGTGGCAATCCATGTTTCCGTCAGCGCCAAGAAGTCGAGAGACTGGAGGGTAGCATAGGCTGAGATGAACTCTGCCTTGTTGGCCGCAGAACAGCAGTTCCAGAAGCTGCCGGAGACCTGGAACTCCACGTGGTTTGTGCGCGCAGGGACCACCAGATTAGAGTGGTAGCAGCCACGCGGTGTGAAGCGTTTGTATGGCTTGTGCAGAGAGGAGAGAACAGGGATAGACAGACACATAGTTGACAGGCTAGAGAAAAGGCTACAATAATGCAAAAGAGATTGGAATGAAATTAACTAAACATCTGGGGAAGCGAGAGAGCGTCCCTCGACTAACTCCCGCAGAACAACTTGGCAGAACTGTCTTTGTTTCAGGGACAGTCTTCGTTTTGGGGACAGCTGCCGCAGACAGCTGCCACTGAACAAAGAGTTTGTGCTAATAACACTAAGCTAATTGCCTAGCACAAGTGTAGCCACTCCCCCTCCTATTGAGTTGTAATCTGCAGAGAACAAAAGAAGTGGCTGGACCTGCTTCCAGTGTGAACGGGTAGCAATCGCTTCTTAAGCAGACTGGGTAGCTTACTAACTATGACAGACAGACAGAACCAACACAGTTTACAAGTTCAAACAATTCTACTTACAGAATCAAGCAGGATCCTTCCAAGACTATTAGTTGACGCTCTTATGTAGGTGTCATAACCAGCCATAAAATAACGCAATATATGTCACAACAGGTGTAAATATATGGGTCATGGCAGTGTTATGACCATATTATGACAGGTTATGTCAGCTGTTATGACAGATTATGACATGGTTATGAACGTGTCATTACGTGTTATGACGCTAGGTGTCAAGTAAAGTGTTACCGTGTGCTCCTGTGTCTGTCTGTGTCTGTCTGTTGGTTGTCTCTCATTCTGATGGTGTGATGATATTAGCAGGAAAAATAAAGGCTTACCAGGCACTCTAAACAGATAGTTGCAATTTAAAAGCCTTTGTTGAGTTTGCATATCCATGAAGGAACGTTAAAACAATGCAAACAATTGGGCTACTGCCAACGGTTGTGTGATGGTGGCGCTCATCTGTGTTCCTCTGTCTGTAGCTCTGAATGTGGACGGGCTGTACAGAGTGAGTGGGAACCTGGCGGTCATCCAGAAACTACGCTTCGCCGTCAATCATGGTAGGTACTATTGCTACTGCCCTCCTCTCTCACTCTCTCTCTCTCTCTCTCTGTATACTGCAACTAGGCTTGCAAAGTTCTGGTAACTTTACCACAAAATCCCCTGGTTTTGCAGATTTCCCGGTTAGAGTATTCAGGATTTCCTGCTTATTCCCTCCAACCAGATTTTAGGAAAGTTACCAGAACTGTGCAACTCTAACTGCAAGCCTGTATACGTGTACCTATAGCGTACACTCTACATAGTACACTGAATAACCCTGTGTCTTTATCTGTGTGTGTGTGTAGATGAGAAGGTGGACCTTGAGGAGGGAAAATGGGAAGATATCCACGTGACTACGGGAGCGTTGAAGATGTTCTTTAGAGAGCTACCTGAACCGCTCTTCACTTACAACTTATTCCATGACTTTGTCAACGCCATCAGTGAGTACACTGTACCATTAATTGAAAATTTTCTTAATTTATCATCATTAGTGACATTACAAGTGTGCTATTACTTAATGTTGATGAAGGAAGGTTGTTACTACTGTAAATACATGGCGTACATGTCATTCAGTTATTCGATCTGGGATGGGCAACTGGCCCTCGGATCAATTCCCCCCCCAATACACAAGGTGCAAATTTCGAAATTTGCTTGTGCATCAGCAGTTTTTGTCTTGTTATGTCAGTCACTGATAGTCAGTCAATTTGACCATGTCAGCTAACATTTTTTAGATTGCTAAATTAGTTTAGGTGCCAGCTATTTAAACTTGTTATCATGGTCGAATTACCGGCTGGGGGCCCCCCATCAAAGTTGCCCATTCCCTGTATTAGATCCATCCAGTGTGTTGTTTCTGAACGTGAAGCATGTTGTTATGTATGTGGCTGTGTGAGACTTGTACAGTATATATGACATGGGTAATGTGCAATGTACAGTATGTATTGTGAGTATGCATTATTTTTATTTTGTATGCGGCTGTACATTTTTACATTTAACATTTTAGTCATTTAGCAGACGCTCTTATCCAGAGCAACTGCATTCGTCTTAAGATAGCTAGGTGGGACAACCACACACTGTATCACAGTCATAGTAAGTACAGGTCAGAGCTACACTGAACATAGAGTTGATCAGGCTGTTGATTGTGGTCTGTGAAATCTTGTCCCACTCCTCTTCAATGCTTGTGCAAAGTTGCTGGATATTGCTGGATATAACTGGAACACGCTGTCTTACACGTAGATCCAGAGCATCCCAAACATGCTCAATGGGTGACATGTCTGGTGAGTATGCAGGCCATGGAAGACCTGGGACATTTTCAGCTTCCAGGAATTGTGTACAGATTCTTGCGACATGGGGCTGTGCATTATCATGCTGAAACATGAGGTGATGGCGGCAGATGAATAGCACGACAATGGGCCTCAGGATCTCGTCACGGTGTCTCTGTGCATTCAAATTGCCATCAATAAAATGCAAATGTGTTCATTGTCCATAGCTTATGCCAGCCCATACCAAACTCCACGGCCACCATGAGGCACTCTGTTCACAACGTTGACATCAGCAAACTGCTCGCCCACACGACGCCATGCACACTGTCTTCCATCTGCCTGGTATAGTTGGAAGGTGAGCATTTGCCAACCATAGTCAGTTACGATGCCAAACTGCAGTCAGGTCAAAATCCTGGTGAGGACGGCGAGCACGCAGATGAGCTTCCCTGAGACGGTTTCTGACAGTTTGTCCAGAAATTCTACGGTTGTGCAAACCCACAGTTTCATCAGCAGTCCGATTTGCTGGTCTCAGACGATCCCGCAGGTGAAGAAACCGGATGTGGAGGTCCTGGGCTGGCGTGGTTACACGTGGTCTGCGGATGTGAGGTCGGTTGGACGTGCTGCCAAATTCTCTAGAATGACGTTGGAGGCGGCTTATGGTAGAGAAATGAACATTCAATTCTCTGGCAGCAGCTCTGGTGGACATTCCTGCAGTCAGCATACCAATTGCACCCTCCCTCAAAACTTGAGACATCTGTGGCATTGTGTTGTGTGACAAAACTGCACATTTTTGTGGCCTTTTATTGTCCCAGCACAAGGTGCACCTTTGTAATGATCATGCTGTTTAATCAGCTTCTTGATATGCCACACCTGTCAGGTGGATGCATTATCTTGGCAAAGGAGAAATGCTCACTAACGGTGCATTTCTGGGTTATTTTATTTAATCTCATGAAACATGTAGAGGGGAGTGAAGTGCGGCTGTTAGTTCATGAAAGGCTTTTTTGTTTTGTTTTTACTGTGTCTAAGACCATTTTCTTCTGTAATGTTTGTCCTATCTTCCTGCTAAACAGAGATGCCAGACTACATGCAGCGTGTCCAGTCTATCAAGGAGCTGGTCAAACAGTTGCCAAAACCTAACCAGGACACCATGCAGGCCCTCTTCAAACACCTCAGGAAGTAAGTCACACTTCAACAGTTAACAAATTACAATATGATCTGATTGTGTTAGCCTCATTCATGTTGATCCACAGTTTAACAGGAGTAGGGTTGCAAAATTCCTAGGTTTTCTAGAAATATAAATGTTCTGTACAATTCTATAATGCTACAGCTTTGGCTCTAATAACCCACACTCCTCTCTCTCTCTCTCTCTCTCTCTCTCTCTCTCTCTCTCTCTCTCTCTCTCTCTCTCTCTCTCTCTCTCTCTCTCTCTCTCTCTCTCTCTCACTCACTCACTCACTCACTCACTCTCTCTCTCGGTCTCATACTGTGCTTTTAATTTGACTTACTTTCATCGCCTCTTGCCAGGCCGTCAATGTGAAGAAGAAGTTTTGTTTAATTGACCTGCCTGGTTAAATGAAGGTTAAATAAAAATAAAAATGTGATCTCTCTCTCTCTCTGTCTGCAGGGTGATTCACCATGGCGAGGAGAACCGTATGACGACCCAGAGTGTGGCCATAGTGTTTGGCCCCACCCTGCTCAGACCTGAGACAGAGACCTGGAACATGGCTGTACACATGGTCTATCAGAACCAAATAGTAGAGCTCATCCTTCTGGAGTATGAGGGCATCTTTAGGTAGAGACCAGAGGGGTGACTTTTCCCTATGTACAGATCTAGTATCAGTTTCCACTCCCCCAATCCTAACCTTAACCATTGGTGGGGAAAATGTAAAACTGACCCAGGATCAGCAACTTCATCCTTGTTTATCGTTTTCTGTTGCAAAACATTTTGTTACGGTCTATGGTAATGAATACAACCCAGGCCTACTCTCTGAACACCACCACCATCACCATACAGAGCTCTCAACCCAGCCCAGCCCAACCAGACCAAACCCAAGCCTCACCTTCCTCTAACACATGGTCATTCACAGCACACCTCAGATTCCATCTCCCACAGACCAAACCTGTATGAATACATGGTAAAGACAAAGGTGGACTTATTATCCACGACCAATAAACCAACCAAGTTGAGACTCTTTGCACTTAGCTGCAAACTTGTATGCTTCCCCCCTCCTCTTCTCACAATGGCTGGATTTGTGGGACTTTCTGCAAAATACAAAAATCCACTTCTGTCCATACACTGGATTTCCATGGCCAGTACCTGAGTTAGCCTCTCGCCTGGATAGACTGGCCGAATGGAGGATACTGGCCGGATGGAGCGTTGAAGAGAGGACAGACAATATGTTATGGTTAGGGTGGAGTAGCAAACTGGATATGTTCAGGATAGGTGGGTCTGTCAGGCAGGCCTCAGTAGCCTCAGTCTCCCCACAGTGGCATCAGTATTGCAGGGGGAGGGTTTATCTATCCACTATTCTGGCTGCACTACAGACAGTATTTAGCCTACACTGTACAGGATATTTATCTGTTAAGGACATACAGACCATACTGTATAGAGAGGTCTGTCTGTCTCTTGCTTGGTCTCTCTGTCTACTGGGACACCCTCAGCTCCTCTACCAACACAATGTCTGCGTCCCAAAACGACTGAACAGAGCCCTATGGGCCTTGGTCAAAACTAAAAGTAGTGAGCTAGAGAATTAATGAATGGCTGTAAATAAAGTGGCTTTGTCTCCCTCTGCTGTTTCTAAAGTACAGAGCTGGGAGAGTGTTTGTGAGTCCCAAATGGTACTCTATTCTCTATATAGTGCATTATCAAAAGTAGTGCACTTTATAGGGTATAGGGTGCCATTAGATGCGCAGCCTGTATGTACCTGTATGTACCTGTATGTCATGTAATGAGCTATGTGGTAGACTCTTTCCTCCTAATACAGCCCTGTGTGTGCGTGCATTTGTGTGTGTGCTTGCGTGCCTGTGTAAAGGCCACAGCACGCATCAGAAATGATCCATCACCTCTAAAATACAGACTTCTTTTCTCTCTCTCTCTCTCGCTCTCTCTCTCGCTCTCCTCTGGAGATACTGGAAGCAGTCCGTTGTTCACTACTCAAAGGTAGTGCACTATATTAGGGAATATTGGTGCCATTCAGGATGCAGCCACTGACTCATGTTTTTCCTTCAGCCATTCATACCAAAACTACTCTGCTTCTCTGGTTTTTAGAACAAATCCTCTCCTATCAGTGAGAGAACTTAAAAACACATAAATGTTACTCAGATGTGTATATCTTTGACTGGTGGTAAATGTATGATAATAAGGCAAGCAACCTTTAATAAAATGTATGTAAGTTCTATTGAAAATATGTGTAAAGCTGTAGTGTTTGGATGCGTTCCAAATGGGACTTTTTCCCTTTATAGTGCACTACTTTTGACCAGAGGCCTTGTCAAAAGTAGTGCACCATAAAGGGAATAGGGTGCCATTTGGGACGTAACCTGTGTGAATGTGTGTGTATGGACGGGGGACTGATGGACGGGAAATATGTTGTACAGAAGTCTGATAGTAATTAAAGTATGTATGACTTTATATGGTGACCATTAGAAACTTGGGGAAACAAACATGTATATTTAAGATCCATTCCACAAAAATTATATGAACTGTTTAGGGTTGAAAATTCCAGTAACCTTCCTAAAATTCCCAGGTTTTTCAGAAATCACTGTTGGGAGGATTCTCCGGATATTCAGCGATTTCCTCCTGATTCCGGGAACATTCAAACCAGGATTGTTGGAAAGCCTGAATTACTGGAATTTGACAAACTATTATATTAACTGGGGTTTTAAAAGTTTACCTGTATTTTCGGTAAATGGCACATTTTGAATGTAATTATTTTCCAAACTAACTGCTGTTCATGACTTCTTTGTTTAATTGGAATAAAGGCCTCCATTGAGACCCTGTAAAAACCTGTGGCAGTCTTGTTTTATCATATGTTCTCATCTGATACACACACACATTTCTGCACACGTGAGCACTGATACCTTCAACCAAAAACGTGCACACGTTTCCGCCATCCATGCACACAAGGCAAAGTTAATTCAGATGGGTCTTGTTGATATCATGATATAAGTTAATAATAATCTTGTGGTGAATCAGTTTGATTTAACACCTTATTGTTTGGCTTCATATCTGCACGTGTCCCAGTTATCACCAGGTTATGGTTTAAGAGGACAGGATATAAAGGCGACAACTGAGACTCCAAAATAACAGCGGAAATAACCACAAGAAGAGGAAATCATCATCAAGGAAGGAGAATGGAGAGTGTTGTAGCTCTGCTGCTGTTGCTGCTCTGCTGTCTGTCTGGAGCCCAGGTCCACAGAGACGGAGTCAGCGTGAATGAGATCCAGCAGTTTGACTATGAGGATGGAGAAAGCAGAGGGAGTGACATTCAGGTTGACAAGCAAAGAGCGGAAGCTGCAGCCTCAACACACCGCCAGCAAACCTGCCAGCCTGACATCCACACTGTGCTGAGAGAGATGAACACAATGATGGTGGAGCAGAGAGTTGAGCTGAGACACACAAAGACTGAACTGGGAGCCATGGAGGCCCGACTGAGAGCCAGTGAGAGCCAGGTGGAGGAACTGAAGTCCAAAGTGGAGGAACAGACTAGAAGGAATGAAGGTTAGCACAATAATACTGTAGTTAATAATACTACATATAGATTATTTCATAAGTATGTGACTGTTTATCTCACACATTGTTTTGTGCATCTTATTTCAGCACAAGCAGTGGAACTAAGCTCAATGGAGACTCGTTCTAACATAACTGAGAGCCACGTTGAAGTTCTGAAGAGACATATTGAAGGTAATATTTAGAGTAATGTTTGAAAAACGTTTTACCATAACGTTTGTCACCAGTAGTGAAACAGCAGAGCAGTAATCTTTCCTATGTGCATAAAGCCTAGCTATTTTTATTTTTTAACCAGGCAAGTCAGTTCAGAACAAATTCTTATTTACAATGACGGCCTACACCGGTCAAACCCGGACGACGCTGGGCCAACTGTGCGCCGCCCAATGGGACTCCCAATCACGGCCGGTTGTGATACAGCCTGGAATCGAACCAGGGGGTCTGTAGTGACGCCTCAAGCACTGAGATGCAGTGCCTTAGACCGCTGCGCCACTGTTAACCACTGACAAGATGGTTTCATTATGATCATCTGAATGACTGACCTTATTGTTGATGACATGTCTGATATGACCCAGAGGTATCAATATTATTGCGTTTGCAGTGACCAGTTTGATAAAGTAATATCGACTCATCTACATTTCACAGACAGAAAGGTGGCTTTCTCAGCCTCACTTGGAGGACCTGCTTTTAGTGGACAAGTTGGACCCTTCAACACTGGAACCACCCTGGTCTACAGACATGTCTACACAAATATTGGCAATGCTTATAACCCCACTACAGGTACAGTACATAATACACATCACCTGTTGTCACAGGCACTTTGCAACCAAATTATATATAGTGTCATGCTTTATGTTAATCTGTTTAAACATCTACAAAAAAAGCCTAAATGTTGTGTTCTGATACAGGGATCTTCACAGCACCAGTGAAAGGACTCTACCTGTTCAGGTTTTACGTCTTTGCGTGGGGTGATGATTCAGTTCCTACTACCACGTTTAAGAATGGACATCAAATAGCTATGGCATACGCTCGCCAAGCTGCTGGTAGTGTTAATTCCTCCAATGGAGTGTCACTCCTGCTGGAGGTGGGAGATGTGGTCTACATGCATCTCTGGGCTGGGCGGCAGATATTTGACAATGAAAATCGCCTCAGCACCTTCAGTGGTCACCTGCTTTTCACTATGTACAGTGGGGGAAAAAAGTATTTAGTCAGCCACCAATTGTGCAAGTTCTCCCACTTAAAAAGATGAGAGAGGCCTGTAATTTTCATCATAGGTACACGTCAACTATGACAGACAAATTGAGAATTTTATTCTCCAGAAAATCACATTGTAGGATTTTCTATGAATTTATTTGCAAATTATGGTGGAAATTAAGTATTTGGTCACCTACAAACAAGCAAGATTTCTGGCTCTCACAGACCTGTAACTTCTTCTTTAAGAGGCTCCTCTGTCCTCCACTCGTTACCTGTATTAACGGCACCTGTTTGAACTTGTTATCAGTATAAAAGACACCTGTCCACAACCTCAAACAGTCACACTCCAAACTCCACTATGGCCAAGACCAAAGAGCTGTCAAAGGACACCAGAAACAAAATTGTAGACCTGCACCAGGCTGGGAAGACTGAATCTGCAATAGGTAAGCAGCTTGGTTTGAAGAAATCAACTGTGGGAGCAATTATTAGGAAATGGAAGACATACAAGACCACTGATAATCTCCCTCGATCTGGGGCTCCACGCAAGATCTCACCCCGTGGGGTCAAAATGATCACAAGAACAGTGAGCAAAAATCCCAGAACCACACGGGGGGACCTAGTGAATGACCTGCAGAGAGCTGGGACCAAAGTAACAAAGCCTACCATCAGTAACACACTACGCCACCAGGGACTCAAATCCTGCAGTGCCAGACGTGTCCCCCTGCTTAAGCCAGTACATGTCCAGGCCCGTCTGAAGTTTGCTAGAGTGCATTTGGATGATCCAGAAGAGGATTGGGAGAATGTCATATGGTCAGATGAAACCAAAATATAACTTTTTGGTAAAAACTCAACTCGTCGTGTTTGGAGGACAAAGAATGCTGAGTTGCATCCAAAGAACACCATACCTACTGTGAAGCATGGGGGTGGAAACATCATGCTTTGGGGCTGTTTTTCTGCAAAGGGACCAGGACGACTGATCCGTGTAAAGGAAAGATTGAATGGGGCCATGTATCGTGAGATTTTGAGTGAAAACCTCCTTCCATCAGCAAGGGCATTGAAGATGAAACGTGGCTGGGTCTTTCAGCATGACTATGATCCCAAACACACCGCCCGGGCAACGAAGGAGTGGCTTCGTAAGAAGCATTTCAAGGTCCTGGAGTGGCCTAGCCAGTCTCCAGATCTCAACCCCATAGAAAATCTTTGGAGGGAGTTGAAAGTCTGTGTTGCCCAGCGACAGCCCCAAAACATCACTGCTCTAGAGGAGATCTGCATGGAGGAATGGGCCAAAATACCAGCAACAGTGTGTGAAAACCTTGTGAAGACTTACAGAAAACGTTTGACCTGTGTCATTGCCAACAAAGGGTATATAACAAAGTATTGAGAAACTTTTGTTATTGACCAAATACTTATTTTCCACCATAATTTGCAAATAAATTCATTAAAAATCCTACAATGTGATTTTCTGGATTTTTTTCCTCATTTTGTCTGTTATAGTTGACGTGTACCTATGATGAAAATTACAGGCCTCTCTCATTTTTTTAAGTGGGAGAACTTGCACAATTGGTGGCTGACTAAATGGACTCTTATTTGTTGAGTCAGGGTGTGATTTTCTATGTTGTATTTTCTATGTTTTGATCTAGTATGTTTATTTCTATGTTGGCCAGTGTGGTTCCCAATCAGAGGCAGCTGTAGCTCGTTGTCTCTTATTGGGGATCATACTTAGGCAGCCTATTGGTACTAGTGGGTTGTGGGATCTTGTTCTGTATAAGGTTTGTTGTGTTACCTTAGGACTTCACGTGTCGTTAGTGTATTGTTTTGTCGTGTGTTTATTCGTGTAAATAAACATGTTTGCATATCATGCTGCGCCTTGGTCTGACCCGTCTATGAACGTATGTGACAGAAGATCCCACCAAACGAGGACCAAGCAGCGTGACCAGGCGGAGCGAAGGGCCAAGTTGTGGTCATGGGAAGAGATATTTGCGGGGAAAGGACCATGGGCTAAGGTAGATGCCCAGGCAGGAGAGTAGCAACGGCAACACGGAGGAGGCCGGTCGAGGAGGAAGCCCGAGAGGCGGCCCCAAGAACATTTTTGGGGGGGGTCACACGGGGTGGTTGGCGGAGCCTAGGGTTAGAGCAGAGCCAACTCCCCGTACTCACGCGAGAAGGCGTATGACTGGGCAAGCTCCGTGTTATGCGGAGCTACATACTGTGTCGCCAGTGCGCCGGCACAGTCCTGTACATCCTGTGCTTGCACCACGCACGTGCCGTGCGAAGATGGGCATCCAGCCAGGACGGGGTGTGCCGGCTCAACGCTCCTGGTCTCCAGTACGCCTCCTCGGTCCTGCATATCCTGCGCCAGTTCTACGAGCTGTATCGCCAGTGCGCGTCCACAGCCCAGTGCGTCCTGTGCCAGCGCCCCGCACGTGTAGTGCGAAAGTGGGCAGCCAGCCAGGACGGGTTGTGCCAGCTCTCCGCTCCAGAACTCCAGTCCGCCTTCGCAGTCCGGTCCGGCCCGTTCCTGCTCCTCACACCAAGCCAGTGGTGCGCGTCGCCAGCCCGGCCCGGCCCGTTCCTGCTCCTCGCACCAAGCCAGTGGTGCGCGTCGCCAGCCCGGCCCAGCCCGTTCCTGCTCCTCGCACCAAGCCAGTGGTGCGCATCGCCGGCCCGGCCCGTTCCTGCCCCTCGCACCAAGCCAGTGGTGCGCGTCGCCAGTCCGGCCCGTCCCGTTCCTGACCCTCGCACCAAGCAAGTGGTGCACGTCGCCAGTCTGGCCCGACCTGTTCCTGCTCCTCGCACCAAGCCAGTGGTGCGCGTCGCCAGTCTGGCCCGGCCTGTTCCTGCTCCTCGCACCAAGCCAGTAGTGCGCGTCGCCAGCCCGGCTCGGCCTGTTCCTGCTCCTCGCACCAAGCCAGTGGTGCGCGTCGCCAGCCCGGCCCGGCCCGTTCCTGCTCCTCGCATCAAGCCAGTGGTGCGTGTTCCTAGTCCGGTCCGTGACTGCTCTTCGCACCAGACCAGTGGTGCGTGTGTCCAGTCCGGCACGGCCCGTGCCTGTTCCACCAGTGCCTGGTCCGGCACCGGTCAACTGCTCCGCTCCGGAGCCAGAGCAGTCCGCTCCACCGGTGCCTTATCCAGCTCCGGTTAGCTGCTCCACTCCAGAGCCAGAGCAATCCGCTCCACCGGGGTCTAGTCCAGCTCCAGTCAGCGGATCCACTCCGGAGCCAGAGCAGTCCGCTCCACCGGTGCCTGATCCAGCTCCGGTCAGCGGCTCCACTCCGGAGCCAGAGCAGTCCGCTCCACCGGGGTCAAGTCCAGATCCGGTCAGCGGCTCCACTCCAGAGCCAGAGCAGTCCGCTCCACCGGTGCCTAGTCCAGCTCCGGTCAGCGGCTCCTGTCCAGAGCCTGAGCAGTCCGCTCCACCGGTGCCCGGTCCAGCTCCGGTCAGCGGCTCCAGTCCAGACCCAGACGTCAGCCCCTCTCCAGGTTCGGGGTCTCCCACACCAGGGTCCAGACAGGGCTTGGAGTATAGTGGGAGGAAGGAGAGGGGAAGCAGTGCGCCGAGGTCCAGACCAGACCAGGGGCGCAACAGGGAGGCGGAGAATAGGTGGTTGTCACGCCCGGAGCCGGATCCGCCTCCGAGGCGGAATGCCCACCCGGCCCCTACCCTGTTAAGTAAAGGTTGTGCGGTCGGAGTCCGCACCTTTGGGGGGGGTACTGTCACGCCCTGACTCTGGGGACTCTTATTTGTTGAGTCAGGGTGTGATTTTCTATGTTGTATTTTCTATGTTTTGATCTAGTATGTGTATTTCTATGTTGGCCGGTGTGGTTCCCAATCAGAGGCAGCTGTAGCTCGTTGTCTCTGATTGGGGATCATACTTAGGCAGCCTATTGGCACTAGTGGGTTGTGGGATCTTGTTCTGTATAAGGTTTGTTGTGTTACCTTAGGACTTCACGTGTCGTTAGTTTATTGTTTTGTCGTGTGTTTATTTGTGTAAATAAACATGTTTGCATATCACGCTGCGCCTTGGTCTGACCCGTCTATGAACGTACGTGACAATGGAGAAAAGAAAGAAAACTAGAGAATTATCTGAGTAGGTCAGACACAAGATTTTATCCAAGCATGGACAATCACAAGGCTACAAGTCCACCTCCAGAGACTTTGATGTTCCTGTTTCCACCGTACGTAATGTTATAAAGAAGTTTAGGGCCCATGCCACTGTAGCCAACCTCCCTGGACGTGGCTGCAAGAGAACTTGATTGCAGCGAAGGATTGTTCGAATGGTGTAGAAAGCACCTCAATCAACTGCCACACAGATTCAAGCTGACCTTCATACACAAGGTACGACAGTTTCAGCTTGCACCACCCGTCACAAACTCAATGAAAGGGGGTTATATGGTAGGAGACCCAGGAGGACCCCACTGCTGAGAGAGAGACATAAGAAAGCCTGACTGCAATTTGCCAAAATACACCTGAACATGCCAAAATCCTTCTGGAATGTCCTGTGGACAGATGAGACCAAATGAGAGCTTTTTGGTAAAGCACACCATCTCTATGTTTACAGGAAACAAAATGAAGATTTCAAAGAAAAGAACACCTTCCCTACAGTCAAAACAGGTTCAGTGATGTTTTCGGGTTGCTTTGCTGCCTCGGGCACTGGGGGCCTTGAGTGTGTGCATGGCATTATGAAATCAGGAGAATACAAGGCATTTTAGAGCGCAGTGTCGGACACAGTGTCAGAAAGCTGGGTCTCTGTCGAAGGTCATGGGTCTTCCAGCAGGACAATGACCCCAAACACACTTCAAAAAGCACCCAGGAATGTTTCAAAACAAAACGCTGGACTGTTCTGAAGTGGCCAGCAATGAGTCCAAATCTAAATCCCATTGAAAACTTGT